GTCATCATCCCATCAAAAGCATCATCCTTAATACCTTCAACACCACTATCATTATCACTATCATCACTACACTAGCAACCTCATCATGATCACTAATAACCCTTCCGTATTGTGGTCACATCCTTTTTTTCCCTCCCTGGCCACATCCTTCTCATCATGATGATGTGATCATCACCACCATTCTATGGTCACCTTTCCCATCATTACGGTCAATAACACCATCCTTGTTGGTGATGTCTTTATTATAACCATCGACACCATCATCACCACTTTCATCATCAATACTCTCGATCCCCAACAGCCCATCCCCATTTTGACCACCCTTATCGTCTGTACAACCACGAACGCCACAATCACAGTTAATCCTTCTCCCACCCTTCTCCGTGTTTCCCTCTACCACCTGACCTTCCATTCTTCCATCTAGCAAGACCTTCCCCACCCAGTTTCTGCCCAGCCATCTGTTCAAGCTTTGGAGTCTAAGGATGGGTGTGATCAAACCACAGCCCTCACAGAGTCGAATGTAGGCAGACCTCTGAGGCACAGCCCACGAAGTGTTCTAAAAGTGTGCATCAGGGCTCCAGGGACCGGAAGAGGAACCACTGGTCTTCTGGTGTCCTAGGGACAGGTCCCAGAGCAGCTACTAAAGAGTGGACGGATGGTGAGTGTGGCCGAGCATGGGCAGCTACGTGAGCCTGTGAGTGTCTGTCCTGCCGAGCCTTCCCCTCCATCCAGACAAGGGTCAAGAGGCTCTGAAGGGAGCCCCGGACCTTGCAGGGTTGAGGTTCGCAGGGCAAGAGCTAATTTGCCCCGTCCTCAGTCGCAGGCACAGATTCACCTTCGTGTTCAGCGAATCTTCATTGGTGATTTGCTTTGGCCACACGGGGGAGTGCAGGAGTGACTCATCATATCTGCCCTGGAGGCGTTTGGGCTCATTCACGGGGGGCTCTCACTCAGGGTGGGGGTGCTGAGGGCTGTGGAGGTCCAGGGGTTCAGATGGCTCAGCTCCGGGGAGGGCACACATCCAAGAAGAGGGATCTCCGGGAGGCCAGGCTGGGTAGGGACCACCCCAGCCACCTCACAGGGAGGAATGGGTCTGGCAGGTGCCCCAAGGCAGGCAGAGCCCCCATCAGCCCGAGCAGCCTCTGCCTGGCCTGACGGCGCCCCCACAGTGCGACTCTGCTCCGCCAGGCCAGCTCCAGCACCCAGAATTGTGGGCCCCGCCCGTGCTGGCATAGTGCTCCCCACGCAGGGAGGCTGCCAGCACAGAGGAGTGCCCTGGGGGTGGTCATCTGCTGAATCACCGCGGCACAGAGATGTCACCGAGCCCTGGCACCCAGCTGCAGTCTGGGCTGCGGGGCGAAACCCCTGCCTCCACCAACCCGTGTACGCTCTCTCTCTCTCTCTCTCTCTCCCTCTCTGAGCTCCTCCCCAGAGAGGCCTGGCCCAGCGCCAGCAGGAAAAGGAGGCTGAACCGGGGTCTTCAAGCATGTTGGCCAAGTTTTTTCCTTCTCACCTGCCCCCTGCTTCCCCTCCGTGTGAGGGGGCGTTCAGCCAAGCCCTGGGCAGAACAAATTTGACCATGTGCCCAGCTGTGAGTTGTCCCCCAACAGCACTTCAAAGGCAAGGCCCTCCCATCATCCATGGGCTTGGACTCCAAGGGCTAGCCTCTTGCAATGGCTGAGGGTGGCCATGACCCCCAGTCAGCTCCCTAGAAGCAAGGCCTAGCGTGAAGACGTCTGCTCCAGTGGTTCGCTGAGGGGGGCTCTCAGGAGAGGCAGGACGGGGGGCAGCGCTGAGGAAGGGCTGTACTCAGCTGAAGACCAGCTCCGGCGACCCCACTGGCGCTCCAGAGGCTGAGCCTGGCTCTCTGGGGCCCTGAGGCTCCCTGGGGCCAGCCCGCCCCCCTGTCATCCTGTGCCAGTCGGTGACCTCCATCTGCCCAGCGGCGGTCCCTCACTGACAAGGGCTGTTCTCCAGAGGAAGGAGCCCTGCGAATTGTTCCCGGCCGGTGTTCACAGCAGCCAGGGGTGCCACCCGAGCGAAGGGGTCCGGGGTGCCCACGGGACGGGGCGTGTTAGGGATGCTTGCTATCCACGAGCTGCCCGGAGCAATCACCGTATTCTCGTCGAAGGAGCAGGAACTTGGAGGCCCTGGGCTCCCTCGGGGCTCTGCTCGGGGGCCCCCCCGGAAGCTGGCTACCTGCGTCATTTGAGGGAGGGACCCAGGACACATCTGGCCCTCAGTTGCCATGTGGCTGCTGGCAGGGGGCCTCAGCTCCTCACTGGTTGTCAGTCAGGCTGCAGGCACGCCGCCCGTGGGGGTGGGGGCAGGGGCAGGGGAAGGAGGAGAAGAGAGCACTTCAGAAGGGATCTGGGCCTCCTCCTCCGTGCGGGCTCCACCCCGTCCTATCTGATGGCCCCACGCCCTCCTGGACACTGGCTCTTTGCCCTCATAGGGCCCTTTTGCCTTCTGAGAGTCCCCCCTGGGAAGCTTTCTCGGGCTCTTTCGCAGCCCCGCAGCCCCGGGGCTCAGCCCGCGTCTATCTACAGGCCCCTCCAGGTGGGAGCTGTGTCCAGACGAGCCCAGGGCCCGGCAAGATGCTGCTGAGACAGGAGAGTTCCCCGGCCCCTCGGGAGGCCCCCGGCTGGCTCTCTAGCTTCACTCCCACCCTGGGACCTACAGCCTTCTGACTTCTGCTGCCACAGGCCAGCTGGTGCCCGGACAGGTGGCCACTGGACCCTAAAGACTCGTGGCCATTGAGGGTGGAGTCTGGCACAGAGGGGTCTCAGCTCCGGTCCCTGCGGGCCCCTGCTCACCGTGCAACCTGGACCTGATCCATTGTGCAGGGAAGCACAGCCCTGGCCACTCCCCCAGGAGCCAACGGGAGCGGCTGGGGTGTGTGGACTCGTGGGGAGCACGAGCCCCCTGTCACCCAGAGGGCCTGGAACCACACTCCAGGCTGGAGCCGTGACAGGGGCAGTGCTCTGGCAGGGGACAGCACTGAGTCCACACCGGGGAGGACGCAGGAGGCCAGCACAGGCTCGTGGCTTCTCTAGGCGAAGAGTGAAACACACACAGGGCTCCAGGCTCCCGGATCTTGTCTTTCTCAAGAGCTGAGAGAGTACAGAGGCCAAGGGAAGGCTCAGGGTGTCACCAGGGTCAGGGTTGTGCCTGGGTTTGGAGCCTAGTCAGGAGTGCGGGCTGGATGCGACCCTGCTGTCCTCGCTGTCAGGAGGAAGTCTCATCGGGCACCCGTGCTCCCCCTGGCTCTTGATTGGTCCATACCTGTCCATATTCTGCGGGACCTCAGGTGTGCCTTCCTCCTCTGCAGTTGTAACTTCCGTTTATTTCTTCCGACATTTTTGGAGCACATGGCTGCCCTGTGGTGGGCACAGAGTTGCCCAGCGGGATTGGCCTGCCGAAGTCCTGAGGAGCTGTGGGACCACATGGGGGTCCGTGCTTGGGTGCTGGGGTCTCCCTGGGGTGGGGAGGAGGCCGGGAGGGG